CCCCCAGACAGAGCCCTGTACCTCCAGCCTGCCGCCCTGCAGGGACAGCCTGCTCCTCTTCCTGCTCCGGCAGGCCTGCACTATCACTGCCCTGTCCGCCTGGCTCCGAGAAAGACACACGAATCATCCATTGCAAACAGCTATCAACTGCTAGACTTTCTCATGGACCAAGTAGACTTTTCTGAAAGGCCTGAAGGTGTCAGAACTGTTTCGGGTGTCTTCTTTTCCAGGAATGCAAACATGTATCTATGTGCTTGTGCGTGTGCGTGTCTGTGTGTATCCGTGTGCGTGTGTGTGTCTGTGTGCGTGCGCACAGTGGTATAAATAACAGATCCTCACTGTGTGGCTATGGACCCCTCCTCCCCCATGCCCAGACCACAATGACCCGCCCTGACTAATTAACGCTCCTCGCTCCCAGGCCAGCCTGGGGCAGCTGTAACTGGAGGAGCTGGGGCTCAGCTCCTGTATCCGTATGGAGCGAAGCCCTTTTCTGGGGCTGCCGGCTCAGGATCCACCCTGCTCCGTACCTGCTGCGCCTGCGCCAGCCGGCGGAATTTCTGCCGGTTCTCCGCGCGGAGGCTCTGGATCCTCCTGGCGTTCCTCCTGATGGTGTCCCGGGAGGTCTGGACGTTCGCCAGCTGGAAGTGCTCTGGACACCCCAGACACAGGAGCACAGGAGCAGCCAATCAGCACACAGAACCCCCAGGCCAGCCACGCCCCCCCACCGCAGGGACCCCCAGGCTGGGCGACAGTGTGGCAGTGGGCATGGGGATACGATCTGTGTGCTCTCTGTTCTTCACAGCGCAAACCCCAGCACCCAGATTCAGACAGAGCCCATCTTAAACACCAGTGTATAACCACTCTGCAGTGCAACACTGCATCTGGACTGAGTCCTGCATCTGTCTGTCCTCAGAGGCTCCAGGCCAGTGCAGTGGTCAGTATGTTCAGTATCCATTGAGGATTCCTGACTGGGATATGAGAAAGGGAAAGATTTTTTGGAGGATAAACCTACAACCCTGGCAGGATCTATTAGCCTGTTGCTCTCTCACCCAGCAGCTGGATCTTGGCTCGTTGCTCTTCAATCTGCTGCTGCAGACTCAGTGTCTTCCCTGCCATCATCTTGTCTGTCTCTATCTCTCCTTCTCCTGTGGCACACTGATCCCTCCTTACCTCACTCCACTATAACCCACAGGCTCCGTCCTCTGACCTGTCATGACATCACAATGCACAGCTGTGATGTCACGGCCTACTCACAGTAGGCTTCCATTGTTGCATCGCTTATCACTGACTGACCTCATGATATTTTATATTGGCATAATGATTTTATCGGGGTGCAACAAAATAGAAAAGTACATTAAAATGCAATAAGTATACTGTAAATATACAAAACATGCAAAAACATTCCTACAATGTAAATTGTTGGAATTTTGCTTCAAGCAACCTGTGTGCCTTGAAAAGGATACAAAAAACATACCTTGTGAATTAATACTTATACACATAATATTAAAATCCAGAAAGACAGACAGCAGAGTATAGGCTAAATCTTTAGGATCAGCTGTAATTTCTGATGGCTAGTTTTGACCTTGCTGTTGTGGCCGTGACATCATAAAGCATGACTCCCAAATGTCTGTGACATCATGATTCTACTCCAGTATTCTCTTCCCCACACAGTGTCTAAGCTTTCACACAGTGTGAGTCATTGACTCTTTCCTCTCAATTATATGTCTATCTCAACAACACTACAGCCTCAAATGACTTCAGAGGCCGGTCTGAGGTTTTACATCTGTGCTGACAGGAGAAAAAAACACAAAAAATCACCAAACAGCCTGCTGTCAGGTGTGTGTGCAGTAATTTCAACCAAGAGAGATACACTTTAACAAACATTAAACATAATTTATCTCAACCAACAAAAATGCTATATGAAAATACCAACAATATTTATTTCTTCAGCACCTTCCCCAGTCTGTCGCCTCACAGTGTGGAACAATCTCACAGCTGTGTCTTGAGGACACTGGAAATGAGACTATAGGCCCAACGCTGGTCACTCCATGTCGTCTCCGTAACGCGTCGTCTTTGTCCCGGTCTCCGCAGGGGGTGCTGCTTGGGAGATCTCCTCTCCTGGAACACAATAAAAACCAATAATGTCTGGGACAACACTGGGGTACGCTGTCAAGGCTGTCCCACTGAGTGAAGACTCACAGTGAAGAGAGCACTAGGGACTGCAGTGCAGTGAAGACTCACAGTGAAGACTCACAGTCAAGAGAACACTAGGGACTGTAGTGCAGTGAAGACTCACAGTGAAGACAGCACTAGGGACTGCAGTGCAGTGAAGACTCACAGTGAAGACAGCACTAGGGACTGTAGTGCAGTGAAGACTCACAGTGAAGACAGCACTAGGGACTGCAGTGCAGTGAAGACTCACAGTGAAGAGAGGCTGTACTCACCTCCAGTCCTCCCTGAAGGCTGCTCTCCTGTTTCCAGGTAGATCCAGAGGTCGGAGCACTTCTGAGTTTCGGAGCGCGTCACCGCGTAGCTACACACCGAGCCTGCCCCTGAGAGGGAGGGGGCGAGAGATGGAGGAGGACAGACGTGTCATACTACTGTCTGCAAAATCTGGATCTCTGAATCACAGCCTGAGGGACACAGGGTGGACACTGAGCTGGGTCACACTGCCCATAGCACAGGCCTGAGACTGAGAAAGGGACACAGAGTGGGCGTCTCCCCCAGTGGTCGGCCTGTGCAGAGTACAGAGGCTGTCCTGCTTCATACAGAGAGCAGGGAGCTGAACTGAGCTCACAATCCACCTCTGTCCTTGGTGCTTTCCTTCTTCATGACTTGGGTGTATGGAGTGCTCTTGTTATTCCACTGTGACTGCAGTTATTTCACATTTGAATTCTGACTGACGGTTGCGGGGACACTGGAGTGCTGTCTCGGGTCCCGGGCTGATGTCTCACCTAAAGACAGCAGCAGGCTCCACTGCAGGGAGCAGGGCAGCCGCCTGTGTAGCGCCCTCTGCAGGAAGAACACTGCAGCCGAGCCTGGACACAGGAGGAGGGGAAGGAGAGAGGGCAGGTGAGCAAGGCGATTGATGGAGTTTGTGTGTGTGTGACATTGAGAGTGTGTCAGAGCGTGTGTGTGTGTGTGTGTGACACTGAGAGTGTGACCTGGTGTGCGCGTCAGAGTGTGTTTGTTTGAGACCAGGTGAGTCCGTGTGTGACTGTGTGCGTGTGTGTGACTGTGTGTATGAGTTTGTGTCTCTGCTCACCCAGTACGAAGGTCCCGATCCCTTTCATGAAGGCACGAGACTGGCAGGCAGCGTACTCCCGCAGGCCCTGAGAGACACAGAGAGAGGTGGAGGGAGGGAGCAGAGACACTGGTAAGAGCTGCAGAGAGGCCCAGGGACACAGCTGCCCTACCCGAGCACCTGCACCACCTGTCCCGCGAGGGCTGCTGGGACATTTTACAGGTCTTTGTCAGCACCTGTCCAGCCTGACCACACAGGGCCCGGTGACCACAGCCTGGCCATCGAGATGGGCCGGAACGGGTCCTGACCTGTCCAGATCCAGCCGGGCCAGGCCGGAAGACCGGTCACAGGGACACAGGACAGGTGCCATTCCCAGGACATTCCCAGATGTGGGCTGGACTGTCGCCACATAAATCACAGAGCCAGAGGAACTATCGCCCAACAGGGGACGGACTGTCACAGCCTGAGGGGTGCATGAGCACCCCAGAACCCCCACCTTCACACCCGCAGCCACGTCTGTGTCTCTACTTTTCATTATATCCACACAGTTCTTACACTTATACAGTTTTTTCATTTTTCTTTTCCCTTCAGCATGGAATAAACCTTCGCCTGTTATTATAAACGCTCTGTGTGATATTACTGCCGAGGTGTTTGTGTTCCGAGTACTGACTCCTTGGTGCTCTTTAAAGTATGAGTAGGAATGTAGGCTTCTGTGTGTTACTTTCCCTCTCTCGACACCGAGTCCACAGCCTGCGGTGTCACGGCGCCTTTCACCCGAGCTGAACCCAGAAAACGAGGACAAGGTCAGGCCGACTCGTTCCCCGGCTCGGTCTCCAAGCGCCCGGAGCTCTTTGCACAGGGCAATGTCACAGAACCGCGACAGAAAAAAAAAACATTTAATCTCGCACATCCCTTTAACATCCGAGCGCCGGGAGGAAAAATTAGAAACTGTAAGAGGCTTAAAAATGCCTGAACACGGCGGCAGCACGCATGAACCCCGACTGGCCGGGGGTCTCGCCGTGCGACGCGCTACTGTGCAGCAGACCAGCAGTCCGGCGACAACAGGGGATAGTGTGCCATGCGTGATAAGAGAAGAGCACAGAGGATTTGGTAAAGTGCAGTTTTCAGAGCAGGCTGTAAAGCCAGAAGCTCGGGGTCAGTACAATCCGGCTGTTTACGGAGCCCGAAACGATTTGAAAACATACTCGCAATACAGACCGGGTGCTTTTCAGCCACCGCATCATCGACCCTGGACAGTCCCAGATTGACCATCTCGCCAAGAGCGCATCAGTTCCGGTATTAGTCCAGGGAATTCGAGGTGACCGAACCCCTTTAAGCGACACAAAGCGCCGCTCACGAACGCAGAGCGACTCGCCAGCACTTCCTCATGCACGCCGTGCGCTGCGCTGGGCGGGGAGCGCCCTCTGCCGGACTCACACTGGTACTGCCAGCGAGGCGAAGAGACGACCACTCGCACCCTTGACACACCAGACTGTCCCATTGAGAACATCGGATTTCTCCACACGCGCGGACATACCTTATTATTTTATTGTGATGTTGTGCATGCCTTTCACAAAGCTGCAGTATACACGCGGTATATCTTTAAAATATGATCTCAGTTCCACAGAAGATTTAAATAAAATTTTTCATTTATTACACCCAGGAAACAATTTAACACGTTCAAATTAAAACAAATCGCTGTGAATTTTTAAGGGTGTAATAGTCAGGGATGATAAAAAGCTCAGCTGTGCCCCAGTGAGCCCAACAGGAGGCTCCACACTGCTGCTGTCCTGGGAAGGGGCTCAGGGTCTCTCGGGATACAGTTAGTGTCAGGGCTAGGGGTCAGAGGTCAGGGTGCAGTGTTAGGGGTCAGGGTGGGAATATAGTGTTACAGGTTAGGGTATAGCTTAGGGTTAGGGATCAGGGGTCATGGTATAGTTTAGGGTCAGAGGTCAGGGTGTAGTGTTAGGGGTCAGGGTCAGGGTATACTTTTAACACTAGGAGTCAAGACCCTGTCTAATACTGTTACAGGCAAAATGACACTTTTTCTGTCACTATTATCCCCTTCATTAACGGCATTAGCAACACTCATAAACGTACAGAGTCCCTATTCAGCACAGAGCCGGGAGGCTGGTTCTGCAGGAGCTGGGATGTCCAGGCGGCGTCCCGGAGACGCGGGAATCTTCACTCAGCTCCCAGTCAGGACAGCTGGGAAGTGGCGAGGAGTCCAGCAAACGGTCTTCAGGCCGAGAGGGTCCATCCACTGCACGCCGGCTGCACCCACCACTTAACCTGTGTTTGTGACCTCTGACCCCGGGGTCAGAGCTGGGAACCTGGGGCCTCTGAGATGAGCCTGCAGCCCTGAGGCGCAATGGAGGAGAGGGGAGGACATAGAGAGAGAGGAAGAAAAGGGGACAGAGGAAGAGGAGGGTAAGAGGAAGGGGTGGGTAGACATTTTACAAGCACAGTTATGCGCCAGTCAGTCATTATTCTCTATAGCGCCTTTACACAGGGAACGCTGCCTCTTAGCTCTTTACTCAGCTTTTGTTAGCGTCTGTGATCAGTGTTCAGTACGAAGGTGAAGGACAGAGCTCCTCTGTAGACACAGGACAGGAAAGGGAATGAGGCTCCTCACCCTGGGTCTCCCTCGCCGAGCTCAGCTCCAGCTGGATCTGCCTGAGGTTCTGCACACAGCGGGCCGGGCCTGCTGACAGACAGACAGGTCAGGACAGGCAGAGACCCGCAGAGACCCACACTGTCCACTCTCCCGCAGCACACAGACTGCCAGGCACGTGTGCAGTACAGAGAGACAGACAGCTGACGGACTGCAGCCAGTCAGAGAGAGTCAGAGGTACCTGGTTCAGGGAGAGTCTGCAGTGTCTCCTGAGGACGGGGGGGAGTTTCAGGGACTGAGGCAGGCGGAGGGGCCGAGGGGGGTACACACAGAGAGGCCTCCCTAGAACACAGAGACAGCTTTCCTCATAACTCTGCCACTAGCTCCTTCCACACGGCTGCCTGGAGCAGTCGTACCGTTTTCACTGCGACCATGTGAGGTAGAAACTGACAGCTTTGCCCAGACACTGCAGATGTTGTGCTCCTACAGCGCACCTGGGGATCAAT